GCACTGTTGCTCCCCAGCCCTCTCCCTCCACCCCGCCCCCTCCCCCGCAGAGGCGTGGCTTTGTTTACGTCCTCGTTTGGATATTTTCTGTCGATCAAATATGTTAGTATCGTGATATAATTTGGTTTTCGGCGTTATTTGGCCTCTCGGATGTGTATTTCAGTGAAAGCCGGGCAGCTCCGATCGTTTCTCGGGTCCTGGCTTTTAGGTTATGGCGCCCATGACACTCCCTTTTCTCATCAAGATTTTTGTACTGATGTTATAAACAGGGCAAGGTCGCTTTGTATTCTGCTTTTGCGCAAAATGGGGGATGTCCAAAGACCATTGCTGCTGACACATCTGAAATGCTTAGTTTTGGAGTCAAATTTTACGTTACGCTAGTTGTCTGCGCGTAGTACTGGCGCATCGTCTGCTGTGTAGTAGTAGTAAGTAAATCGATTGTTATGATGCAGTGTGTGTGTGGTAGTGGGTAGGAGCCGTTATGCGGCTTTTCAAATTGTTTTATTTTTGTGAAACTACTGGGAAGCAATGCACGTAAATAATGACGCAGAAGAAATTCTTGACCACCGCGGTGAGTTTATTGGTGTAAACCTTTCTACCGACCTGAAATAATCGTCGTTGGGTTAGAAAACCGTTGGCAGTGAAGGTTATGTTTCCCTTCGCCCTCTACCCTAATCACATCATATTTTTTAAAAGCTAATGATTCTCATCGATTTTGTTTCTATGAAATTAAACTTAGATAAATGTGCAAATAAATAAGTCTGTTCACATAGTGACAACATGCCTAAAAAGAGCACTTGCCATTGCAATCATCCAACCGTTATTTTGCATTAACATTACACAAATGTAATTAAATAGATGTTTTGCTTGTATGAAGTCCACGTTTGTATTGGTTTCCTTTTTAATATCCAGCAATCCTTAAGTTGTCATTCATATCTGCCCCTCCTTTGTATTCAATAGCTATGCCCAAAATTGAAATGCGATCCGAATACAGCTGATTGCTTTTATTCGAAAGTACTGCTAGGATGGCAAGAGAGCCTGCGTTCTAAATATATTATCCTTTGAGGTTTCATCATCATTAGGATATCACAATAAAGGATATCATAATCTCTTTCATTTTGCAGATATATCTTGCCCTTGAGGCTCTTAAAGAACAATTTATCCTCACAATGTTTTCCTTGTCCATCCAATGACACTACCTCGTGGTCAATGCCAAGCCCACTCACATACCCACCGTATGACATGCTCTCTGCTCTGCTTTCCCTGTCTCAGTTAAATTGGAGACTGGCAGGACTATGAAGCAGAATGTGGGCGGGAGAGGATAGGAGGGGAGAGGTAGGGAGAGAGAAGGGAAGAGGCTAATTGGCTCAATCATTGCATGTCTGCTAGGCAACTTCATCCTGATGTACAATACAAATTTTCCCTTCTGGTTTTCCACATTATACTGCTCTTGGGTTACTTCAATTAGAAGGCTCATTGTTTTTAAGGCATACAGGACTAATTTAATTTGCCTTTATTGGGTGAGTTGTTGTCGTCATATTCCTCGCTTGTCTGCGAGCACCTCACTAGATTTTTAAAAATAAAGTAATGTTGTCGTAAGCTTGTGGAATTAAGCTGCGACTATTTACTGATTCTGTTCCTCGATTGGCGACATCCTTCATGAATTGCAACTATTCACCTATTTAAATTGTTCTCGACTCGGTTTAACATTTTCACTTTATTATTGTGCAAATATGAGCTGGTGACACCCACTTCCCCCCTCCCAACGCACAGAAAGGTGTCCTCAAGTTTCACTATCAGCGGGGGTGTCGAATGGGCTGCCTATCCTCCTGGCGTTGGACAGGAGCGCGTGGAGCCGCCGTGGCTCGACCCTGGCGCTTCGCTCTGCGATTCCGCTGCCTTTGAGCAGACGTCCATGCCATGGCCCAGTCCGCACCCCTGGCCACGCCCCTGCCACACCTCGCCTAGCTCGCCACGCCCCGCCGCCCCGCCGCACCCCGCCACTCCTCGTGCCGTGCGCGTTCCGATGAAATGTGACGCTCTCCGTCTTGTGCCTGCCTTCTCCTTTATCTCGTGCACCCTGGCGGGGGTGCCTGGCTGGCGGTGCGGCGGCAGCGGCGGTGGCGTTCCCAGGGCGTTCCTTGACGGCGCGGCCAGGGGGCGTGGCGCTCCCGTTCTTGTCGCCTCGCCGCGTCGTCGTCTCGCGTGGCGCGCAATGCGCAGGAATAAACGCAGCCGTGGAAACGCGAATGAGGTGGAAAGGCGCGGATCGCCCATCCAAGCGTTGGAACGCCCCCCCCCCCCCCACCCCCCTCTCTGGAACGCCAGCCCCGGCGGCGGGCTGTGTCGTATCGGCTTGACTGGAGAGATGCTGCTCTAAGCTGTGGGTCGCGTCCGCGAACAGACTTGGAGCATCAAATCAATGTTGACGGTATACGATAAAAGTGACTACTTGGATTGACCAAATGTGGTGCTTTTCAAGTATTTTTTGCTTGAAAATTTCCACTCTTTCTTGGAAATCAAGCTGCAAAGTTTCCCGTGCAGAAATTCGGCACAACCTTTTTTGGTGGTTGATACTGTTTTTAGCTTGGGGATCCATAAAGTACGTCCGCTGTTTTTTGCCCCCTTAACACCACCCCTACCCCCCTGTCCACCGCTGTCCGTTTTCGAACCCCCCACCCACCCCCTCCCTTTCTGGACGTGCATTTTCTCCTAGGCCACTCCAAATTCACAATAGTTTCTTTATGTGGAGACAAAGAATGTGTTTTCGAAGGGGGAATTATTGTATTGCACACACTAAAAGCTTATGAACAATTTTATTCACAGCTTACTGAGTTCTGTGTACGTGCTCTGCTTACGCATTTTTTAATACGCCAGTATGATCAAATTTGTTCACACCGGCGTATTAAAAAATGCGTAAGCAGAGCACGTACACAGAACTCAGTAAGCTATGAATAAAATTGTTCATAAGCTTTTAGTGTGCAGGTCTACTGGTACAATGGCAGAAAACAATGTTAGGAAAATTGAGAAAACAACACAATTTTCGCCTAGTTTCTCGGTTTTCGGGCAGTTAAAACCGGACGTCAGTACTACCTATTACCCCCCACCCCCTCCCCCTATCGTCCATCACTGT